CTGCCGTTAATACCATTCTATGTTCCCATTTGCCTCTCCCTTCTTCAAGTGCTAATTTCCAAAATCCAATTGAACTTGCTACCAAGATTTCTTGACAAGATGGACTTTGCTTCTTGTTATTCTCCAGAGTACCATGGTTCGTTGGAACACTTTCACACGGCTTGTTATCCTTCTGTTCTGCAACCTTCCTCTCTACTTCCAAGAGAAACGCCTGAAGGTTATTGGCGAAGGAAGCCCAGCCTTGTCCCCTCTATCCTTCCGGTATACAAATCATTTGTTTTTTGTTAGTGCCAAAGTGTTTCGTAACCATGATAAACCATCCTCTCTCATTTCTTCTTAGTGTTGTTTCATAGTTCTTCCCACAACAAGCCACTGAGTTTTTCCACCTTCTTCCCTAATAGTGTTTACTGCTCCATCAACAAAGCCTTTCAACCAGTAACATGCTTCCTTTGGTATGAATATCGTTGCCCTATTACCTTCTATGATTTTCAAGCATGCCTTACCTTTTGTCCATCCTTGCTCAAATAAGAAATGTTTAGCTTCAACACTCATCTCCATCCTCCACTTCCCCACCGGCCTGAAGTTTCTCTCCTCTCGTTCCATCTCCCTCAATAGCCTTCAGACACTAAAGTTAAGCCTAATCCAGAATGGGATCCGCTTAGCATCTACAACATTTCTTTCGCTTAACCATTCCACTAGTGCTCTCCAGCCCTTCCGAGCTTCTCCAAGTGGCAACCTTTCATATATAAGCAATCCTTCCAATTTACCAACACTTTTAAGCGTCAAAGTTTCCAAGAAAGTGTCTTCATTCAAAAGTTTAAACATAATCTGGTTTTCCAAGTCATTTTTACCACCACTTGGCCGTTTTTCGTCCCCTATAATTAATTTCTATGCCAGGTGGTTCAGATATCCTACGGTCCCAGATCTTACTCGTAGCAACTTCATCCTCTTGTCTCAAGATCCCATCTTCTCTCGTTTGTGCAATCACTATGTGGCACCCCTCATCTCTAAGCGTACCAATCTGGGTATCTCCATCCTTGGCTCCAACAGCTGTAGACATTTCCGATGATTCCATGGACTCTTTGTCCTTTTCCAAATCAATTACTTCTTTACCCTTTATCTTTCTTAGAACCTCTTCGCCTATACATTCTCCCCTTAACACCTTAAACGCCCTTTTTTATTAGAAATGGTAACTTCATTAATACAACTTAAGAATAAATAAGTACAGCTGTCAACCCCTAAATAGATGTTGGGCCCCCAGTAATTTTTCTTACAGAACTGCCTAGAACATTCTCTCCCTCACAATCCCTTGTTTAGCCAACTGTCAGCTAAACCATTAGCTGATCTCCTTGTCCATTTGA